TAGGTAGGCTATAGTAAACTTATATGTATTAGTAGAATAACTAGGCTATATTAGAGGTAGTTATAAAGAAACATAGTATTAAGTGTTAATACTTAGTTAAGTAATTAATAACTACTATAATATTTATATACTTTTTAAATAAAAGTAGGTTTATAATAAAATTAATTAATATGTCTTTTTAAGCTTATTTAGAGATTAGAAGTAGTTTAAGTAAGCTATTATACCTTTTTTAAAAAGCTTTTACTTTATAGTAAGTATAGCAACATAATACATATTAGCGTATAGTATAGAACATGCAGGGCTAGTAGTACTCTCTTTATAGTAGGTTAAGAGTCTTTTCTCTGCCTAGGTGTCCTCTAACAGGCAAGTTGTGTATAATTTAAAGTAGTTTAATTCTTAGTTTATTAAAATTAAGAATTATAAGTTAGTTATAGTAATATAGCTTACTATTTTAGTTTTTATAGTTAGCTAGTGTTACTTTTTTTAACTAACTAGCGCTGTTTTAGAGTAGGTCTAAAGTTTTTTAAATAAATTTATTATTTAAATACTTATTAGTAATAATTTAATTAATTATTTAATTTATTTTATTTAAGTTAAGGTCTAAAAATAACTTAAGTTAAAGTAAAGTTTAGTGTTAAGCTTTTTATGCTTTTTTTTAAGTAAAGATGTTTTAAGATTACTTTATAAAAGCATCTAGTTTCCCTCTATTTTAACTAGAATAATAAGTAATCTTAAAATTAAAATAAAATAGGTATTTAAACTAATAAGCTTATTAGTAGCTAAGTTATTTTATAGTTATAAAGTACTATAAGTTCTTATAGTTAGATAAGACCTATATTAGATGCGCTGCACTTTCTAGTTTAGGTTACTATTATTTAAAGTAGTATACTATAGTAAGTAATTTTTTATTATAAATTTTATAATTACTTTCTATAAAACTTATTTTTTTAAGAAGTATATAATAGGCCTAATAGTCCTGTCTAGCTTAGTCTAGAAGAGAACTCCTGCTACTATATAGTTTAAGGCATTAGCTTCTATAAGTATTAGTAGTTTAAAGTTAAAGTAGTAAAGTATTAAAGCTTTAGTAAAAGCTTTTTTTAGCTAGTTAAAAAACTATTAGTAATTTAAGTTAAAGTTAAATTAAACTTTTTTTTTAGTAAGTATAATTATAAAGCTTACTAGCTATAAAAAGTTATTAATAAATTATTAGTAAAAGTTAGTAAATTTTATAAAAGCTTAAACATCTTTTATGTCTTTTAGGTATTACTAATCTAGCATAGTTTAAACTTTAATAAGGTTTATTTAGATGCTATCTATAAAAATTACATATTCTAAATATGTAACCTTTAATTAGTAGAACTTACATTTATCTATGTTAAGTTATAGACTTACTTTTTCTATAGCTTTTAGCACTAGGCGTACATGCTATTTATACTCTAAAAGGCTATTACTGTAGATTAGAATATTATTAATATACATAGTGCAGAACATGTCTAGGTAGGGTTAGAGTAAGTTATTTATAAAATGTTAAAAAGTACTAGGCGTGTTAGCTAAGCTAAAAGGCATTACTAGGTACTTAAATAGTTTATATTAAGTCTAAAACACTATTAGCTACTTATTACTCTTTACTATTTTTAGCTTATTAAAGGCAGTAATAATATTTAACTTTATAAAATACTTTACTTTACTTAGTTAGCTTAGAGTTTTCTATAAAAAAAAAATTAAGTATTAGTTTTTAATAATAATAATGTTTAGTCTTTAGTAGTTAATATAGAATTAAAGCCTACTCTTAGGTTTCTTTATAAATAGTATAAGTAACACTACTAGTAAAAAGCTAGCTTAAATAAACTTTTTTTTTAAGTTCTTATTAAAGTATTTTTAAAGCACTTTTAATTTATTTAGTAACATCTTATATAGTAGCCTATAACTAGGTTATTTACTAGGCTTAAAAGTTATTTAGTAATTATATAGACATTATATTAAAAGCTTATTAGACTTATTTTAAAAAAAATATGTAATAAGTTATAGTAGTTTTAAAAGACTATTATTTTTAAGTTAGTGTGTTTTTAAAAAGCTAAAGCTTAGTTTATATTAAAAATTATAACTACATAGATTTTATAATCTAGTTATTAAGCTAGAGTTATAAATAAAGTAGGTCTTATATAGCAGATGTCTATTTACTGTTTAAGTCCTAGTTTATGTTTAAATTAAGTAAGTAAAAGTTTTTTAAAAGCTTTTTTTTCTTTAAGTTTAAGTAGTTATTAAATTATTTTATATAGCTTATTTTAGTAAAAAGCCTAGCTTATTAGCTTTACTTAAGTAGTTCTTTTTTAAGTTATTAAAAAGTAGGTCTAAAAACTTTTTATATTAAGTGCTATTTAAGTGTTATTTAGGTGTAAGTGTAAGCATATATCTTAGCATTAAAAAAAGTTAAAGTTTAAAACTTACTCTTAGTAATTAAAAGCAACTTTATGCTAATATAGCTATAGTTGTTCTAGGATTAAGTTATAACATCTTATGTTTATTACATAGAGTTTAATCTGCTTCTTATAGTGTTAGTAGGTAATTATAATAGTTATAGTATAAAAAATAAAACTTTTTTTAAGTTATTTTTTATTAAATCTAGTTAAGTAAATTATTTAAGTAAGTAGTGTTAATTAAAAATTTAGTTTATGCGCTAGTTCTTTATTAATATAACTTATACTATTTACTTCTAAGTTAATAAAAGCTTATATTAAAGCTAATATAGTTCTTTATTATAAATATATAAAAATATTAACTTAGTACTTTTAGTTGTTAGTAGGGGACTTAGCCTATAAGTTAGTAAAGATCTAGTGTTAAATTAGTTCTAAAGAGTAACTTAGCCTTAAGACAAGCCTTTTTATAGGCTTTTACTGCTATAGCTGCAGCTATGTTAAAAGTAGTAAAGAAAATTAAGGCTTAAATATAAGTTAAAGCTTTTATAGAAATAAAATTAAAATAGTAAAAATTTTTAATAAATACTAGCAGCGCTACTTACGCAGACTTAAAAAAAGAGAATAAAGTAGTTTTAAAAAATATAACTATACTTACTACACTTAAAATATTAACTTTTTTTTTTATAATTTTTACACTTTTTAGAACTAACTAAAGCATAATTTAAATTAATTTTTATTATATTAAGGTCCTTATTTACAACTGCGCTAGTTTAGAGGTGTATTAAGGCTTGTACAGGGAGGAACTTTATATTATTATTATAGGTAGTAATTAGGTTTGCATACGCGTTAAGGTTATTTAGAAGAGGTTCTTCTACTATAGCGTGTTATAGTTTAGTTAAAAGAAAGTTATATAGGGCTATAATTAGACCTATCTTATTTAGGCTTATATTAGATGTAAGTTAGTAAAACTTAGTAAAGTGTAAAGTAAAGCTTTTTTTTTTTATTATAAGGTGTTTAAGTAACTTAAGGCTGTTAACTTTTTATTTAAGTTTTTATAAGTTACTTATAAAAATGCTATAAATTAATTTAAGTTAATAATATCTTTATTTATTAGTAAGTTAATTAAGGCTGTTATATTAT